GCATAATGACAAGTAAGAGTTCGGTCCACAAGGAACGAGATATGGTTTGCTAAAGATCTTAACACTTAAGCTAATCCAAAGTCTTTGGTGAATTGGGGGTTCGTCAAGTAGACAAACAAATTATGGCTCTAAAACGATGTATTAAAGACACTAGGGAATGAGATTCACTCAACCAAGGTAATTAGACAAACGGGGAGTAAAATAGACAAGATATAGCAAGGACTATATGTAAGATCAACCTCATGCAATTAAGAAACAACTCACACTACTAAACTTAGATTCCTCATTACTTCATTAGTTTAGCAATAGAAGATACATAATCGAATTGGAATAAGTAATTCCATGCTTCATTACATTTCCATGTCAAACTAAGCATCATGCAATCAAGCTCCTAAATCAAGGGTAGCTAATCCTATCATGAAGAACTAACAAGCAATCTCATACAACCAATTTAATCGCAATACAAACATCAATGCTACTCCCACATTTGCATGATTAACCTAAAAGGTTGAGCTTCACCCAACCCCTAGCAAGAAGACTACTCACAACTCATATTTATCAACATGCAAACAACTATTAGGGCTCTAACTACTTCAATAATTGGGGAAGAGTGGTTAACAATCGAATTCACTATCATCCAACAAGGAATTATCAAGAACTAAAAGGATTCAAGTAACATGCAAATATCAAATAAAATCTGAAATTAAGTAGAAGAAGGTTTAAGATATTACTAATTGAAGCTTCAAATGTTGAATACAAATTGCCAAACCTTGAGAATAATTCTTGAATTTCACTAATACAATGATTTGATTTGATGAAAACTAAGTTAAATTAACTAAAAGGAATGTTTCAAACTAAGAGAGGTTTCTAAAAACTAGGCTACTGTTCTCTCATTACAAATGAGCTACAAGGGATGTAATTATACTCCCCGAAACACATAAGGAAATTCGTCAAAATAAACGGATTCCCAGCGAGGAGCGCCTGCTTCGCAATGAGGAGTGCCCACTCCTCTGCTAGGAGCGTCCGCTCCTTTCTGCTGCACGCCCACTCCCCTGTTCCACGGCATAGGCAAAATTCAAATTCAAAGGGAGGAGCGCCCGATCCTGGTCAGGAGCACGCCCGCTTGAACATTACTCCATGCTTTGAGTGCTTGTCAAATTGAGATATAGTACCTATAAAACACGGACAAACACAAGCAAAGAAAGGGCGAAGCCAAGATACAACATTTTCATTCAAAAACGGGTTAGAAAGAGGGGAAAAGATTACAAAATTGGGTTTAAATCAACACTATAAGTGGTCACATAAACCACTTATCAAGGTGTTAGAGGAGGGAGCAGTCAAAGGGGTACTTTAATTTTGTACCATTGGGGTCGGGGTCCGTTTTGGTGTAGATGACACACCAATGTCACAAGTATGCTAATTTGAATCAATATCTTCTGTTTTGTATTTAATTATTCTAAGTGTTAACTAAATTCATGTATTATGATCTATGGGCCAAACACAAGAGGGAGCTTACTAACGAGGATATGCATGCAGATAATGCTGGCGTATGGACACAATCAAGTCAAACTTCAACAGGACAACAACTTACTCAGTACGTAACAACAACTTTAGCCTTTTAATTTTTTTATCATTGTTGTGATAGTTTCTGAACATTGTATTATGTTAGCTTAAGCCTTTTTATTTAGGACATATATGTGTTTAATCAGCAAACTTAATGTACTTAGGGTCTGTTCTCTTCAGCTTAATTTCAGTCCATTTGAGCTCAAATCCGATCGGTTCAGTTCCTAATTTTCTTCTTTCATAAATAATTCATTTCAGCTCAGTTCAGTTCATTTTAGCTCCAATTAATTAAGTTAAGTTCAGTAACTAAAAACAGGCCCTTAATCTTATCTTTTGAACTAGTTTTCGACATTGTATTATGGGAGTCATGATTATATATGGAATGACTTTATTTATAGTTTTACTATTATGTGAAATTGTTGTTCAAATAAAGAGCATTCAATAATTTGCATAAATCAACATTCATTATTCCAAACAAGTGCAACACATCCAAACAACAACACAACCCATTTCCACTACTATTACATTAATCACTTTAAATAAAATAGAAATACACCAAAAACAATCCAAGAGAACAACAACAAAAAAGAGATTTTTTTCCCATTCCTTGAGTTTTTCTTTAACTGCTTCCTTGATTCACTAATTTCACTCTTCATCTTTGCAACATTCTCCTCACCTTTGTTCCTCATTGACTGTAGCTTCTTGATCTTCTCATCCCTGATTTTCTGCTCCACTTCCAGCTCACAAATAATTGTGTCCTTCTCAAAGTTCTTCATTTGCATGTCCTCCATGCAATTACTTGTATTTAACCTCTTGAACATCTCACATGATCGAGTATCTTGTTCAAAAAAAAAAAACTAGGATATGTGCCAAACACTTAAGAAATAATCATCCACCCTAATTGAAATTACTTACAGGCCACAACGGACATCCGTAAAACCTCATCCTCATATTTGGACCATTTTTAACAGTCCTCACAATTGCATCGTTCCCACAAGAACAGTTAATCTTATGGTGAACCTCCCTCCTAAAAAAACTTGAACTTGTAGATTTATCATATTAAGATGATTGTCTCCACCCAGACATTACTAAAATTGAAAATTAATAATAGGAGAAGAGAGAATTTTTTTAAGAGAATTCAGAGTGAAAATTCAAGAAGGGGTGCGAATTTGGGGAAGAAGATAGAAGAACGGGGGAAGAAAAGGGTTTTTATAATAAAAAAGGACATTTCAAATACCCTGTCCAACGTTAGTGACACGTCATCATATTAGCTGCCGTGTCATCATTTCACTTTTCAAAACAATGCTTTATTTTGCAAGAAAAACCTTTTAAAGCATTCTTTGTTAAAAAATACGATCACTTTTTTTGTTAAATAAAACCTGGGCCCTCTTTTCCGGCATTGGCTCCCACTTTCGAGCGTTTGTTGATCAATTACTTTTCCTACTTGCTGCCACTTCTTTTTATAATTGCACTCCCCCTTTTATTTTTCCCTCTTATTTTGCTTCCAAAGAATTTCCTCAATATTCTCCCTCCTTTCCTCCATGGTTGTTTGATGATTTTGCACTGTTATGCTTAAATAATACATGCAAACTTGATTGTTGAAATTTTTGAATGGAATTGTTCATTTATTGCCCTAGTTTGTTGAATTTCTGGAATTTTGTTTGACGATTTCAGAAATTGGGGCTTTTTTTTACTCAACTTCTGAACTCACGTATTTCTTTTTTTCAATGGCTAAAGGAGGAAGAAAGAAGTCGTTTGGACGCAAAATAAGGTTCCCTAATATACCATTGTACCTGATAAAAACCATCAAGTACACAACAATTACAGAACAGAGAAGTACTCACAAATAAGACATCAGATTACAGATGAAAGAAGAACGATGGACTGAACCCTAGATTGCTTTAAACATCACTCTAATTGTGTAAGAAATACATGAAGAACCTTAAATTACCTTATAATTGCTTTGATTTGGGTAAGTTTCCCTACATTTTATATGAAATGAATTGGGGAAGCTTGACCTAGATTATTTATAGAGGGAAAATTAAGGTGCCCAAGAAATTAGGAGGGAAAATTACCCAACAATAGGGTGCAAGTAGTGACAAGAAGAGGTCAACGCCTGAAAGTTGTAGTCAATCTCGAAAAAGAGGGGTGATATTTCCTTAGACAAAAAAATTTGATCGTGGTGGTTTTTTTAACAAAGAATCATGTTAAAGGTTTTTTCTTGCAAAACGAGGCTTTTAAAAGGTTTTTTTTAACAAATTTGTCTATTAATTTTTTTTGCAATTTTTCCAAATTAAAATTAAAAATATTAAATAAAGTTATCCAAGTTCTAACAAAAATAAAAAGTCTTTTTTTTTTATTATTTTTTTTATTTTTTTTTTAAAAAAAACTTTAGCAACCTTCTCTCTCCTTTTTGAAGAGAATCCAAAGTGAAAATTCAAGAGGGTGCGGATTTGAGGAAGAAGATGCAGGAACAGGGGAAGAAAAGGGATTTTTATAATAAAAAAGGACATTTCAAATACCATGTCCAACAGTTAATGACACATCATCATTTTAACTGCCATGTCATCATTTTACTTTTTCAAACAGGTTACCTGATAAAAACGCCTGTTAAAAATAGATGGAGGTCAAAGTTAGTAGGGTATAATAAAAGGATCTTGCTAACAAACGCCCCTGGTGCGTTGGATAAGCATTTAAAATCTTACCTAAAATAGTATTAATTTGGAAAGCGTGATAAAATTACGCGTCGATCGGTGTAATTAATGTTAGTTTTAATTTAATCTTTCTACTTTTAACTAGCTTATCCAATGCCCCCGGGGCATTCGTTAGCATTTTCCATAAAAAGAACCGGTTTATAATTGTATTACTTTTTTGCAATTTAAAATGGTTGTATTATTACTCCGTAAAAAAAGAACCGGCTAATAGTTATTTGTTGTAATACGCATCGTATGCGTAAAATGAACAGATTAAGGATACCGCCAAATATCACCATTTAGCTTCTCATGCAAGAGTAAATATCGCCGCTCAAAACCTCATGCTCGATTAGACGTTTCACTGAATGTTTAATATATCGAGTAAACACTGTTCATGCAAGGGTACTATAAATCCCCGCATAATCTGAAGGAAATATACACAATAATTATCGAAGTGTCTAAAAACTTTCTTTTGATCTCTTTGAAATCCTTTGTTGTAAAACAATATTAGTTTTTTGCAATTTTTCCAAATTAAAATTACTACAAATAATACGTAGGAAATAAAATTATCCAAGTTCCAACAAAAATAGAAAGTCTTTTTTTTTTTTAATTAAAAACCCAATTTTTAATTTTTTTTTTAAAAAAACCTTAGTTAAAGCCTTCTCTCTCCAACTAACCATAGTTAAGTTTAGGCCAAATGCTTCCCCACCAACCAATAGTCCAATACCACCCCTTTTATATTTGAAAATCAACTCTCCATTTTAGAAATTTCCGTCACATTTTCCGGAGGACGGAACTCTGATAACTCACCCAAACTACACACACCACCAACACAAATCTCGAGGAGAGAGAAAAACCCTCAAAAAAACCTTCAATCTTCTTCAATGGCGGTTTCCAGCAGCTGCTGCGCTAGGGTTTTTCCCCCATTTGAGTGCCGCTCTGAGCCTGAATTCTCCGCTACCTTGAAACCCGACATCCCTTCCTCAAACGCCGGTAAATACCGCCGGACTTTCGCCGGAATTGGCGGGAGTTCGTTTTCCGGTACTAGCGGTCTTTCTTCGATGATCTTGCGGTTTCCTCCGAACTTTGTGCGGCAGTTGAGTACCAAGGCTCGCCGGAACTGTAGCAACATCGGTGTTGCGCAAATTGTTGCGGCTTCATGGTCGAACAAAGAGGGTGATTTTAGCGGTGTTCCGGCGGCTACTGCCGTCGACGCCGCTGCCATCGCCGCCGTCGAAATCGTGAATGATTCGTCGGAGGTTGATGATGCTGTTGATGTACTTGGTGATTGTAAAACTAACAGTGATGGTGATGGTGGTGTAGAGTTTTCTTCTTACGATTTTTTGAGCTCTGATGGAAGTCTTGCTATTCATGCTGGTATAATTCCTTAATTTATTCAATCATTTTTGGTTATTTATTGATTGAGATATTTTTTTTTAAAGGTTTAATTTGGATTGTACTATGTTTGTGAAAATTATATTTGATATTTCTATAAATAAATAAATTAATACACTATTGATTAATGAGTGTGTTCATACTTGCTAGTTGATGTTGTAGATCTCTCTTGTTGATTTATTATTAGGGTGTAGGTGTTTCGGGTTTTAGATAAACCCCACCAATTTTATTTTGTCGAAATAAGGAAGCAATAAACAGAATGATAAATGGTGTGAGGAATTGAATATGGTGTTTAGTTTTGTTGCAATTATATTGTGTGTGGCTAGCTGAAGTGTTGATGTCGTGCAGGTGAACGATTAGGGCGCGGCATAGTTACTGATGCGATTACTACTCCAGTAGTTAACACCTCTGCATACTTCTTTAAGAAAACTGCTGATCTTCTTGATTTCAAGGTATTAATCTTTGGCTTTCATTGTTCAAGTTGTTTGGTTGATACATTACTGGTTTTTTTGGTGGGAGAATAGTTCTGATTGGTGTAGGATTTAGTTATTGTGAAAGGGTGATCTTTTTTGGGGTATGCTGCAGTAGTTTATTTGGGTTCATTTGTATTTTACATCAATTATCTCGCTATGTAGGAGGGGCGTCAAACAAGTTTTGAGTATGGTCGGTATGGTAATCCTACATCACAGGTTTTGGAAGAGAAGCTTAGGTTTGTCTTTCTATCAATCTACTGCGTTGTTTTTAATCCTTGCTTATTTAGTTTGTGGAATGTCGATCTAATTGTTTATAATGTGACAGTGCACTTGAAGGAGCTGAATCAACAATGTTATTGGCATCTGGAATGTGTGCAAGTATTGTCATGATGTTGGCTCTGGTTCCTGCCGGAGGCCATATTGTGACTACTACTGATTGCTACCGCAAGACCAGAATGTTTATTGAGAATTTCCTCCCAAAAATGGGAATCAAGGTAAATTCTTTGCTATCCATATAAATGTATATAGTTTTCTCCTTATTTTTTATTTTTGTGGAAGAATCATAATTACTTTGTATTTGGTTGTGAATCAAATATGATGTTTTGTCATGCTGTGCTTATTTCAACTTTGCATTTTGGTCTTTTGGAGCTCTGTATGATTTGGGAGATACCGGTAGACCATTTATAAGTAGAATGAAATGTTTTAACTTTCGATTTTTAAAATGGGATTTAATAATAGTGATTGAAAGTATAATCTTGCCTCGAATGTCATTGATGTTTCTAGATCATGCAAGGTGATGTGCTATATACATGTTCAATCTGTAAGGGCTGTCACTTGATTGTCATTTTTGATCTATTTCAATTCTAAGTATCAAGCTGCTGGTTGTATATAGTGTTGTTACTAGATGAGGTTTTATTGGTGCTCATTGTGTGCTCTTTTTTTTCCACTAACTGTAGGCAACAGTCATTGACCCTGCTGATGTTGAAGGCCTGATGTCTGCATTGGATCAGAATAATGTAAGTAGTAATCAGGGAAACTTTGGCCCTTGGTAATGCTGATTGTCATTGTCATTGTGTGAAATTATAAAACATTGATGTTGGATGTAAGACAAATCTAACAAGATCTAATGTATATAACCATTGATGGTTGAAGTATGTGAATAGTGTCAAAGTTGGATACTACTGAAAAGGGGGAGCAAGTATGTAGTTCAAGAGATGAAGATATTAACAACATGATATGGTGTTTCGCAGGTGACTCTTTTCTTCACAGAGTCTCCGACCAATCCATTTCTTAGATGTGTTGACATTAAGCTGGTATCAGATCTTTGCCATAAGAAAGGAACTTTGGTCTGCATTGATGGAACATTTGCCAGCCCGCTTAACCAGAAGGCCCTAGCCCTGGGTGCTGATCTTGTTGTGCACTCAATGACAAAATTCATTGGGGGACATAATGATGTATGTTGACTCTTACTTTGGATTTGATCATATAGAGAATTGGTGCTTTGGTTTTTGTTTCTGATATATACATTTGAAATGTGAATATTTGCAGGTGCTTGGTGGTTGCATCAGTGGCTCACTAAATTTGATATCTGCAATACGCAATATGCATCACATTCTTGGCGGAACTCTTAACCCAGTAAGTATCTTTGCTGAAATTTTTTACTTTTCTTATTTTAGCTCTTGTTATTCATGGTTATGTGAGATTCATGCTTTTGTATTTCTTGTATTATTGTAGCTTTTGACTTTCTTAAGCCTATCATATTGGAAGTCAGTGGATGTGCACACTGAGAGTAAATTGTATCATAATTATTACCTATTATGAATTGAATTTGTTGGGCTCTGCCACCCTTCAGTTCTCATGGTTTGGATTTACTTTTGTCCAGAATGCCGCGTACCTGATCATTCGTGGTATGAAGACCCTACATCTTCGTGTACAGCAGCAGAATACTACCGCAATGAGGATGGCCGAAGTTTTAGAGGCACATCCTAAGGTAATTAAGTTGGTTTATTGTTTTGGTTATGTGACTTATATCAGGTGGAACCTTGTGTCCTCTAGGTCTTCTGTATAGCTTTGGTTCTATTATACGTTATAGTGGCCCTCATATCTATTTTCATGTGTTATGTTAAAACTTATCTTACAGACAAGTGTTTTTGTATGCAACATCTTTTCTCCACAAGATTGTCTAGATACCTTGGTAAAAGTTACTCATGGAGGCTTTTGCTTACTAAAAAAATTTGCTGTCTTATTATGCTAATTTGAGGGAGGCTAGTTTTCATCAGACCCTTTACTGACAAGAGTCTTATACTGACCACCGCTTCTATACAAGGCTCTCATGCTCTTGAGGTTGAACTTTGACTACTTATATCTCTTAAAATATGTTCATAGAAATACTAGAACTATGTTAGATACCTATCTTTCTCATGGCAATGTTTTCAGCAAAGCTTTTATCAGTTGGGCAGAAGGGTCCTTTATTTATTCTGGCTGTGTTGAAAGAAGGATTGGGTGTAGAATAACATCATCAGCTTGCTTATGTTGTAGACCTTTGGTTCAACATGCAAACATATCATTAACACTTCCTTAAACTGCTTTGTGTTTTCATGGTAGAAACTTGCTAGTCTCTTGTTCTTACTGTATGGACTATTGATTTTTGCATGTGAAGTACCTAAACTAGTATTGTGGCAGCATTAAATATGGGGCTATTGCCCTCTAAAGATAATCAAGTATAGGCATGTATACTATTTAATATTTTACTGTCATCTATGCCTGTGCTGTATTTGTCTGGTGAATTGATGTTCATCAGTTCTATGATAGGTTTCTGAAATTCTTTGAGAGGTTCAGAACTAACTAGACAATATTGGCAGGTGAAGCGTGTTTATTATCCAGGCCTTCCTAGTCACCCTGAGCATGAGCTGGCTAAAAGGCAAATGACTGGTTTTGGTGGAGTGGTTAGTTTTGAGGTGAGTGGTTCAGTTCCGCACTGTTTATTGATATTTGGCAAATTTGTTCCTGCACTGTTGCCCTCATTGCAGTTACATCTGAGTTTGAAATGACATTCTATCCTTTATATTGCAGATTGATGGTGATCTGCATGACACAATTAAATTTGTTGATGCATTGAAGATTGCTTATATCGCTCCATCATTTGGAGGCTGTGAAAGCATTGTCGATCAGCCCGCAATCATGTCTTACTGGTGCGTATGCCTTTTCTTTACGTTTTTTTTTCTTGGAAAGTAACGGACCAGAATAAAGAGAGTTGATTTGTCATGTTATCATTTTCCTAAGACTACTAGATTGCCAATTGCTCGAAAGTTGTCAAGTTGAAGAGAAATCACTAAAAATTGATAGCCTGTTGTGTGGTATTCTTAGGATTTAGTCCTACTTGTGTCATTATAAGTAGTTACACGCTGATGTGTAATATGATGGTCCCTCCACTTAGGCCTTGGACCACCTTGTTGCTATGATTTTATATAAGCCGACACCAGTGTTTCAATGTCAATTATATGTTCAAAAGCTGCTATTTTCCTTATTTAAATTTATTTTTCGAGATTTGGAAATATTTGATGAATTAAATTTAATTGAAGCAGAAAATAGTTACAAAAGCATATTGCTACAAAAGGGACCAAAGTAGCTTTTTTTTCCCCTTATTTCATTGTCTTTATTTGGGGCAAATTTATTATTTGCATCTAGAACCAACTATCCTTAATAATTTAGGGATGTATACTTGACTGTTAGTACCTTCTTAGATTGTTGTCATTATGTGGAAGAGTTTATGTTCGCAGCATATTCGGAGTACATGATAAGTTAACCATGTCAATTTATATGATTGTGGAGGTCAATTTTGCTTTGTTTGGTTGATTGACTGACCATCTCATTGCATTTATTTTTGAAAAACAGGGATCTTAGTCAATCTGAGAGGCTAGCATATGGTATCTCAGACAACTTGATTCGATTCAGTTTTGGAGTTGAGGACTTTGAGGATTTGAAGGCAGATATGCTTCAAGCTCTAGAGGCTATTTAAGGCGCAAATTCTTGCTTTTTTTTTTTTTTTTTTTTTTTAATACAGTACCTTGTTTGTTTTTAGGATGCTTTTTCATCCCCTAAAGATTTCTCTTCATTGCGGTTGGTGATTCATTTATATGATTCCCGATTTTCCCAATGTAACATTGTATTTGCTTATTTCATAAGAAACTATTCATTTTCGTTGTTATTTGCTGTTGCTCTTTGTTCCCCGTCTATTAGTCAAGTTCTCATGGTGGCAACTGGCAAGATTTGAGGTTTTGGATTTTGATTGAGAATTTCTCTTCAATTTATTTTAGAAAATTTCTCATGGTGGCAACTGGCAAGATTTGAGGTTTTGGATTTTGATTGAGAATTTCTCTTCAATTTATTTTAGAAAATTGCGCAATCAATGTACGTATTTTTTACCTGACTTTATCGCATAAATAAATTTAAGACGTGCTTTCTTGCCCTTGTCTTTTCCAATTTGCAAAAATATAGGTCTTTTGTTCTTTTAGCATTATTTGAAAAACCACGGATTCCTAATACTTTTTGGAGATGAGATTGAGAGAAAGAGAAGAGAGAAACCATGTGATGTGAAAGAGATAGATAAAAGAAAAGTGACTTGTCTAATTTGAAATCTATACTAATCTATTAAAATGCGTGCTTAAGAAGAGATTTGAACACTTAACTTCTTAAAAAAAAAAACATTGTTTAACCACCTAGGCTAATTGTCACTTACGTTCTAATTTTGCACAAAAATAAATTATTAATAATATACCATAAAAAAAAAAAAGTAAAAACACATACTTGCTCCGTTGTTATTTAGTTGCAACACACCCCTTTGGCACGCATGTTAAGGAATATATTAGACTAGGTAAACGGATAAATTAAATTACAAAATTTTAACACCTATTAGAAGAAGGAAAAATTGCCCGGAATAATCCCACCTTTGGGCCGTCCGCCCACAATAATCCCACCTTTGGATTATTTTTTAATAATCCGACCTTTATATCCAATCCGCTCAAAATGGTCCCGGGTGACCAGTAACCGATTGAAAAGGTAATTTTTTTTTAATTTTTTAAATATACACGTGTCATAACTTGATTCGTCCAAAATAATAAAAAAAATTAGTATTAAAAAAGTAAAAGCATATAAAAATAAATAAATAAATAAATAAATAAATAAAAAACAACCACCTAAGCCACACCACAACCACCACCATCTCCACCACCACCCTAACCCAAACCCTAGAACTACCACCTCACCCAGACCGGAAACCACCGCTTCACCCAGACCCGTATCCACTGCCGCCTAGAACCGACTGATATCCCAACCCAACCCAAAACCCTATCGAAAATCAAAACCCACCACACTAGCTAGATGAATTGAGGTCGCGCGACCTGACTTGAGGTCGGGAAACTGACGGCGCGGCCGTAAAAGGGACAGGGAACGGCGGCGTGGCCGTAAAGACGGGGAATGGGGAGGTTGTTGGTGGTTCAGGAAAAGCTCGCCTAGTCGCCTATGCCTGGATTTCGTGGGGAAGGGAACTTGTTGGTAGTTCAGGGGAGGGGTCGTCGCAACGCCAGGGTGTTGGGGTTGGAGGCTGGTGCTTTCGTGATGGAGTTTGGTTTCGAACGTGGTGGGGGAAGGGGGAGGGAGGTCGGGATCGGGACGGGGAATGGTTTCGAAGGTGTTTGGTGGTTTAAGGGGAGGGATACGGTGGTCGGCGCGTTCAGGGGGAGGGGTACGACGGTCGAGGCCTGGGTTTTCGAGGGCGACGTTGCTTGGTTTCGTGAGGGAGGAGGCAGGTTGGTGCTTCAGGCAAGGGAGTTCAGGCCGACGCCGGCGTCAGCGCTGTTGCTGGGGGTCCTGGTGACCGGAGCTACGGGGCAGAGGTGTCAGCGGCAGCAGGAAAGGCTTGGGGTGGTGGTGCTTTTATAAATAATCATTACTTTTATTATTTTTTTCTTTTAATTGTTTTAATAACTATTTTATTTATTTATTTATTTATTTATTTATTTATTTATTTTGACAAATAACAGGCCAACACGTGTCAAGTAACTTGTTATAACAGGTTACATGACCTGTTGGGACCATTTAAAGCGGATTAGGGGTAAAGGTGGGATTATATAAAAATAATCCAAAGGTGGGATTATTTTTAGCCGACGACCTAAAGGTGGGATTATTCTGGGAAATTTTTCCTTAGAAGAAAGGGATAAGTTGTTAGGGTTTAAATTTCATAGCTTAATTCATTCGTGTACCTAGTTTAATCACCTCATCGATAAGCGTGATAAAAGGTGTGTTGCAAGTATAAAAAAACAGAGGATGTACAAACTATTAATTATTTTTTAAAAAAAATTAGTAGTTGTACAATTATAAAAGTAGCAACTTAGGGCATTACTTGAGCTATTTACTAGTGTTTTATTTCTTTTTTTTTAAAAAAAAATTTAAAAAGTAATACATTTAATTTTAGAGTAACTAGGGTGTAAACGCGCGCAATGCGCATGCCATAACTATCCATATTCGGGAAGTTATTTCGATTTAGCTTTATGTCATAACTTTATTTGTCGGTATGGTAAATAAGAGAAATTATATAAAAAAAATTTTAGGGGTAGAAATGTAATCACACTATTCTTAAGAGTTAAAAAAAAAGAGGTAATAAACATATATTACTAAGGGCAAATAAGTAAAAAAAACATTTTAGATAGTATAATTGTCCAAATACTATTCATAAGAGTATACACAAACTTTTTAAAAGGTAATAAAGAAAGACGATGGATCTAAAAAGATACGGAAGAAGTAATTAAGCTTTATTATAATTTTACTCTTTTTTGTTCTAATCTAGTTCATGTAGTAGCACTATATCAATATCTATCTATCTATATTATATACTAAAGTAATCCCCATAATTATTCCAAATTACACATATCATTACCTAAAAAAAAATGTCCAGCTAAAAAGTTTGTTACTTCTTTTATTTTATTGAGAGAAGGTTGTTTAGTTTAGCGGTTTAGCCTTATATTTAGGGTAGGGAATGATGCACAACCATAATTATTTAAATAAAATTAAAAAGTGTTAGTAAAGAATAAAAGATTTACGTAATACTATAAAATACTACTTACTTGAGAATAAGTGTAAGCTTTAATATTAAAAATATTGAATTATTATTACTTTGTACTCCTTCCTTCTCACATAACTTGTACTATAAAGTATCACAATATAATGTTTATTATAATTATTTATTTATTTATTTCTATTTTATTTTACAAATAATAATTTCGTTTTATATTTTTTTTAATAAACGAGTAACTAAAGTATTATTGTACTGTAAAATCGTGCACAAAACATGTTACAAACTAGTTCACCATTATTTTTTGCTTTTGAAACCCTTTGGAGGGTAATTAACAACCGCAAGCTAAGTAATCTATAATCTATAATATTATTAAAACATAAAGGGGTAACATGGTGACGACATGTGTTACTCTTATAGCATAATGCGGTCTATGACATGTCGCCATGCCCAAATAAGGAGGTTCCCGCAAAGAGGGAGCCCAAGTTAATATTTGAGATTAACATTTCAGTTTATCTCTTCTCAGAACTTTATGTATTAATTTTTGTGTCACTTTATAATTTCACTTTTATTATTTATAAAAAATAAAAGAAAAACAATTTATTGTGAGAAGAGATATATTTACAGATTTATCTCATAAATCAACTTGAATTTTTTGGCAAATAAGTATTTGGACCATGTTTAAACTCTTACACCCCTTGAAATTTCCATCTTTTATTACCATTATTGTCCAATAAAGTGGACAATTATTTCACATTAATTCAACATAAATAAATTTTTTTTTACTTTATTGTCTTTGTTGCTTTTATTCCACAATAATGTCAGTTTTTACTTAACATTCAATCAAAAAATTAAAAAAAAAATTAAAAAAATAAAAATAAAAATTACAAACTTGAGGTAAATTTTTCATTTTTTTCTTAAATAATATCCGAGGCATTACCCAGGCCACAAACTAATCAGTCTAACACATTAACTCCATCTAGGGGAATGACACAAGCCTTCAAACCTTTTCTCTATAACTCCATTTTTTCTATATCTCTCTCCTTACCTTTGGTTTAAGATTCATCCAATTCTTAATCCCAAATCCATCGCCTATTTCCTCCTAAGGTTGTCAAAAGCTGATATAACACGATAACCCAACACAAATCTGACTCGAAATAAGTGGATTTGGGTCAATAAGTCTCGACCCGTTTAAATAGTTAGGTTGACACAAACCCGACATAAAATTAAACGGATTTGGTTTGGGCTTCAAGCCGAAATCAACACGTGTAATACAATTACATAAATTGTTTGAATGTCAATGAATTAGCTCAAACTCGACAACACCTCGATGTAAACCTGGTGTCTTGGCTGCTTATAGAAGTGGGTGCAACCAAAAAGTTGTTTTCTGCTCATTTGATTTTTCTACTCACTTTAAAAAATAAATCATATGAGTAAATTATACCCATGGGAGCACCTTATAGAGTGTACATAAATTTTTGTAGGGAAATTTTAATGGTAATCTTTTATTTTCTACACTAAAATGCCAATCGCCTTTATTATTATTATTATTATTATTATTTTTACTAATAATTGCTCTATTTAAGAATTTTATTCCACTTATAACCTTATTTACTTAAATAGTTAGTTTAAGTAAATCTATGATTAGATTTATTTTTAAAAAAACTATATACATATACTAGTATATAAAAATCAACGTACCCAACCACCAACCCAACCACCCCCACCACAACCTCCACCCTTATTCTTACCCTCACTCAGCCACCACCAGACCTCGACCACCGCCTAGAACCCCACCGCCTTCACCCTCCCTCTCTTTATCCTCTAAACTCTCTTCTTCACTGTCCTCCAATTGAGATTTGTGCAGGTGAAGGAGGTGGTTTCTGGATCTAAGAAGGTGGGGGTGATGGTTTCAGGGTTTGAATGGGAGGGGAGTTTGGGGTTTTGATCGGGATCCAGGTGGGTAGGGGTGGTGATCGAGGTTGGAGTAGGAGTGGTGGTTTCAGGGTCTAGGCATGTGGGGGTGATGGTTTCGGGGTTTCGATAAGGTGGGGGTTTAGTGTTTTGTTTGGGGTCTTAGTGGGTGGGGGTAGTAGTTTCGGGGTGGGAGTGGGGGGTTAGAATTTTGAGGTATGGATGGGCGAGGATTGGTGTGGGGGAGGGGTGGTGGTTCCAATTTAAGTGAAGTTGTAGGGGTGGGGGTTTCGGTTCAGGTGGTGGGGATTGGGTAGGTGATTGGGGACGAAAAAGCTACACAT